CTCGATTTTTTGACTTTTCAGTTCTTCAGTATTTAAATTTTTGAATTTTTCAAATTTTTGCGTTAAGTTTTCAGTTTTCTGATTTCTCAATTAATCTATTTTTGATTTTCTCACTTCTCAAAGTTTTGATTTTTCAGTTCTTCAATTCTTCGATTTTTCGACTTCGCTTTATTGGTTTGTCGATTTCTCAATTTTTGGATATTTATTTCAGTTTTGATATTTTTCAATACTTCGATTCTTTCATTTTTCGACTTCTAGATTTTTCTATTTTTTATTTTTGGATTTTCAGTTTTTTGTTTTTTATTTTAATTTCTCAATTTTTCAACTTTTTCATATTTTAATTTTTAAATTTCTAGATTTTTCAGTTTCTCGAGTTTCCAGTTCTATATTTTAATTTTTTAAATTTACGAATGTTTAAATTTTTTGAGATCTCAATTCATTGAGATTCGGATGTTTCGATGTTTTGATTATTCAATCTCGCTTTATCAATTTTTTCCATATTTAAGTTTTCGATTTTTCGATTTTGGTCTACTTCGGTTTCTCAATTTTTTGATTTTTCGACTTCTCGATTTTTCGACTCCTCGATCTTTTTTTGTCTTTTGATTTTTCGATTTCTCGATGTCTCAATTTTTGAATTTTACAATGTTTCGATTTTTGATTTATCCGATTTTTCAATTGTCCAATTTTTTAAATTCTCGACTTCTCGATTCGTTGATTTTTCAGTTTTTCGATTATTAAATTTTAGATTTTTATTTTTATTTTTATTTTTGATTTTGTGATGTTTGGATTTCTCCATTTTTCAGTTTTAGGATATTTTAACTTTTCAGTGTTTTAAATTTTAGATTTTTCGATTTTTTAGTTCTTCAATATTTTTTTATTTTTCAAATTTTGACGTTTCTGAATGTTTAGTTTTTGGATTTCTCAATTAATCTATTTTTTTATATTCCCATTTCTCCACTTCGTAATGTTTCGATTTTTCAGTTCTTCAGTTCTTCAATTTTTCGATTATTCAGGTTTTTGATTTTTCAATTTTTCGATTTTTTAAGTTTGCGATTTTTAGACTCTGATTTTTTGACTTTTTTGTTTCTCAATTTTTTAATTTCCTAATTTTTTGATATTTCGTTCAATTTTGTGATTTTTCAGTTTTTCGATTTCTCAATTTTAACTTTTCAATTTTTGAAATTATTAATTTTTTTCGATTTTTTGAGTTTTCAGTTCTCTATTTTCAATTTTTCAATTTTCGGAATTTTTAAATTTTCGATTGTCCAATTTTTTTTTATTTTTCGATTTTCCAATTTTTCGATGTTTCGATTTTTGAATTAACCGATTGTTCAATTTCTCGATTTTTAAATTTTAGATTTTCCAATTTTTATTTTTTTGATTTTTTCATGTTTCGATTTCTCGATTTTACAATTTTCCCATATTTGAATTTTTCAGTGTTTTAAATTTTCGATTTCGAGGATTTACTGTGTTACAGTAGTCATCAGTCATTACTCATCAAGAACGATTATTGCTGTGCGTTAAAATGCCTACATACTGATAAGCACGTACATACAAGACACATTTAAGGCTGTTTTAGTATAATTTTTGCAATTCTAAATTTATTTCTTGATGTCTAAATCGTATATATTTAAATGGTGATGAATATTTTGTGATACAATCTTAGGATAAAATGCATTTTAGTTTCAAAAATAATATGTATTTAATGATTTGACTACTGTTAATAAAAAAAATACGTAAGAAGATGTTCATATTGAATTAATTTGGTGTTCATAGTTTGATGATAATCCATGTTATTCTGGAGGCAAATTAGATGACTTGTTACTTATTAATTAAAGTAGTGGTCGTTTAATTTCGTATACCTTTAAAGTGGACGAAGGGACGCATATTTGTTAGCCATGCAGTTCATGGATAATAGGTATACCGCGATAATATTAAATTTTTGTTACCTTAACCTTGAAACAGGTATGCACTACATATACATATATTACAGTAAAGTCTTCAACACGTACGTTTGCTTATTTTGTGACTGCTCCCCGTACAACGTACTGATTAATACGTCCGTTTACTACCTTATCGACATCACGTGCTTACGGACTATTTTTACCCCCTTTCGTAAGGTACCGCCACTTCATAGTGAAGCGAGTGAGATGTAAAATATATATTCATTCTTTTCTACATGGGAAAGTGATTGTCCGTATAGGTTGTCCAACTATAATATACTTAAACAATGCTAATACGTAGGTCGATCGAAAAACTGGAAATTTACAAATCTGAAAAATCGAAAACTTGCAAGATTGAAAAACCGAGAATTGAAAAATCAAAAAACCGAAAAATGGAAAAATCAAAAATCGAAAAATAGGAAAACCGAAAATTCGAAAATTCATAATATTGAAAACTCTAAAAGTCGACAATTCAAAAATCAAAAAAGTGGAAAAAAATAATCGGAAAATCGAAAAGTAAACAAATTGCAAAGCCTAAAAACTGACGAACAGAAAAATCGAAAAATTGTAAAATCGGAATATCGAGAATCGACAAATTAAAAAACCGAAAAATCGAAAAATTAAAAAATTGGAAATCGAAAAATGAAAAAAAAAGAAAATTCAAAACTCGAATAATCCGAAACTAAAATAATAGAAAAGTGGAAAAGTAAAAATTGCAAAGTCTCAAAACTGACGAATAGAACAATCGAAAAATTAAAAAAAATTAAAAAATATCTAAACATGGAAAATCGAAAAATCGAAAATCGGAAAATGGAAAAACCGAAAAATCGGAAGTCGAAAACTCGAAAATTCGATGAATCAAATACTCGAAAAAGCGAAAAGTAAAAAAATTGCAAGGCCTAAAAATTGAAAAATCAAAAAATCGAAAAAATGAAAATCGGAAAAACGACGATCGAAAAAAACAAAAAATCGAAAAGTGGAAAATCGGAAAGTAACTAAATTGAAGTCTAACAGTTGAGAATGGAAAAATTGAAAAACCGAAAATTCCAAAAGTCGACAATGGACAAATTGAAAATCGCAAAATTTAAATTGAAAAATTGAACATTGAAAAATCGATGAATTGAAAAATCGAAAATTCGACTACTCAAATTTTCTAAAAATCGAAAAATCATAAAACTGAAAAATCCAAAATTCTAATCATCGAAAGTCTGAAAACTGAAAATCGAAAATTCTGAAAAGTGGAAAATAGAATTACGAAAAATTTAAAAGAAAGAAAATTGAAGTCTAAAAACCGAAGAATGGAAAAATTAAAAATCAAAAATTCGAAAAATCAAAACCGAAAAATTCAAAGATTTAAAAAGAAAATCGAAAAATCAAAAATCTGAAAATTGAAACTCGAAAATTTGGAAAATCGAAAAGTAAAAAAATTGATGTCCAAAAGCTGAAAAATGAAAAACTGAACAATCGAAAATTCGAAAATCAAATATCGAAAAATCGAAAATTTGATAAATCAGATATGCGAAAAACAGAAAATCTGAAAATACAAAACTGGAAAATCAAAAATCTAAAAATGGAAAAACCGAAAATCGAAAATTCAATGAATCTAATACGTAGGTCGATCGAAAAACTGGAAATTCACAAATCTGAAAAATCGAAAATTTGCAAGATTGAAAAACCGAGAATTGAAAAATCAAAAAACCGAAAAATGGAAAAATCAAAAATCGAAAAATAGGAAAACCGAAAATTCGAAAATTCATAATATTGAAAACTCTAAAAGTCGACAATTCAAAAATCAAAAAACTGGAAAAAAATAATCGAAAAATCGAAAAGTAAAAAAATTGCAAAGCCTAAAATTTGAAAAATCAAAAAATCGAAGAAATGAAAATCGAAAAAACGACGATCGAAAAAAAATCAAAAAATCGAAAAGTGGAAAATCGGAAAGTAACAAAATTGAAATCTAAAAGCTGCAAATTGCAGAACTATAAAAACTGAAACAAACAGAAAAATCGAAAAATCACAAAATCGAAAAATCGCAAATCGAAAAATCGTAAAATCAGAAAATGGAAAAAGTTGAAAAATCGAAGGTCGAAAAATAAAAACCGAAAAATCGAAAAATTTTATGATTAATGGAAAATCGAAAAATCGAGAATAGAATAATTAAAAAACGAGAAAATTGAAAAATCGGAAATCGAAGAATTAAAAACGTAAAATCGAGAATTTAAAAATCAAAAAAATCGGAAAGTAAAATATAATCGAAAAATGCAAAAAATTGCAAAGTGTAAAAACTGACGAACAGAAAAATTAAAAAATTGAAAAACGAAAAAACTGAAAACTCGAAAAATCAAAATACCTCAAATTTGAAAAGTCAGAAAGTTAGAAAGTAATAAAATCGAAAAGTTGATAGAAAAATGGAAACTGAAAAATCTAATTCGATGAAACTGTTGGTCGAAAAAACGAAAAATTGAAAATCGAAGTGACCTTTTTTTGAGACAGGCTGTATAAGTAAATCTAAAAAATATTACTGCAATGATAAATCACAGGTATAGACTCATCATATTCTGAACATTTTAGATAGGGTATTTATAAAATTAAAACTAATTCAGAGTAAGTATTTATAAAATTAAAACTAATTCAGGGTAAGAATTTGGTCAACACGTAAATTCGTTGTAGTTTGAGCCTACCTACAAATTCTGCCCTTGGACGATTTGGACCGCCTCCTTCGGTGACGACCGGCAAAAATGATCCGCCCATAGGCTCAAAACATTTGCGTACACACAGTTTCTTCTTCTATAAGTTCTTTAATTAAAAAAATTAAATTAACTTTTGTCATTTTTAATTTAACACTTAAACACTTCACGAGTCATAAAACGGATAAAACCAATTCTTCTTTATTCACCGTTTATTTACCATTGGTATACTCACAAGGAAATTTAAAATCTAAGTGATAAATTACAAAAAAAAAAAACATACACATACATATTAGTAATAATGATAATAGCTTTCCAAATTTTTGACTCTAGGGCTGGATTGATTTCGCGGTCTGACCATCATCCTCACTGCTTTGATGGTCTTAAGTGAGCCGCGTTCATCCGCCCAAAACATCGGGTTCCAACGACTTGGCTTTTTAGAACGGGGGTACAGTCCGGTAGGGCTACTACATGTGTTGTTGTTCCAGAACCACCAGCCCCCTTGGCGAAACTCGGCGATGTTGTGCCCTTCCTCCAGGTCATTGTCCCTGTCCTTTGTGGAAAATTTCAAACCACCCGCCGGTATCATGCATTCCTTGACGAAGTATTGCCACGTGGGATCCTCCTCAACCAGATTTAAAGTAAAATCGGTATCACTGTCGCCAATGCTGAAGCTTTTGTAAAGACTTCTTATCGTGGTTTTGTTCGAAAAAATGAATTGGACCAAGAGTTCGTTAATTTCATAGCCTGAAAAAATATCGAGGATTCAATAAATACATTTTTTTGTGTCAGCTTGTACAAGCAAGCCAAAAAATCATCATATTTTGTACATTTAAGAATTTATCCGGCAACATTTTGAGATAACGTCACTCACTAGAAACATATGCATACGATGCTTCTTTACTTGTACTTTTCCAGTATTAATTTTAGCTCATAGGGGTCATCATAAAAAAATAAACTCCTCAAAATTAAATTTGATAATTAATTCTTGCTATAGCCTTGATTAAGTAGAAAAAGTAACCTTGGCACGCGACAATTTCTATGTTTAAGTTAAAAAATTAAAAAAAAAAGTTTAAAGAATCATATATGTAAAAATAATTCAAAGTCTTTTACCTGTTAATTCGTGAATATATTTTAATCCTAACCAGTGCTCTCCTTCGATACCTCCGAATCCGTTAACGTAGTCATTCCAGTTTCGGTCAAAACGGATTGATCCATTATATCTTCTCAAAATGTGAGTCCAACCCCCTCCTAAAGTTTTCATGTCGCATAAAACAGGGAAGGGTTTATTAGCATACCCGGGGAGAATTGTGACTATGCCGTGTTTGTAGCCTTTAAGTAGAGCGTGCCTGCAATTTACTGGAATTTGGGAAGTTCTGGTAATGTTTTCGCCCTAACGGGATAAAGCAAATCAAAACCTGTTTAATATTTTCGGAAGTGCTACTTACTGCGTACACTAAAGTTAAAAAACCAACAACAAAAAGAGCTTGAGATAACATTGTGGAACTAAAGTGTGTGTGTACTACTTGGAGCAGACTAATGAAATAGCCTGCGAATTGGAGAATCGTGTTCACTGTCGCTAGGAAGCGGACCTCGACGTGGCGGGAGATTTGAAAACAAATACACTTTTTGTGTTTGTCTGCCGTTTCGTTTTATCAATTTTTCTTTCATTGAAAATTTTTCCATTTTCAATTTTTTTGTTCTTCATTTTGGCCATTTTTTTTAATTTCAAATTTTTCAATTCATAATTTTTCGATTTTTCAATTTTTCGACTTTCCGACTTTCCGACTCATTGATCAATAATTTTTTTTATTTTCTCATTTCTCGATTTTTCGACTTCCAATGTTTCGAATTTTTCGGTGTTTCGTTGTTTCAATTTTTCGATTTTTTGACTTCTCGACTTTTCAATTTCTTGATTTCTCGATCTTTTTTTCGATGTTTTGATTTTTCGAATTTTCGTCGTTTCATTTCTTGATGTTTCGATTTCTTGACAACTAGTATTTTCAAAATTTTTTTTCTTTTTCAATTGTCCGATTTCTCAATTTTTCAATTTCTGGATTTTTCATTTTTTTAATATTTCATTTTTAGATTCTTGACATTTCGATGTTTCAAATTTTTCGGTTTTAAAAAATAAAATTCGCAAAATCAAATTTCATAATTTTTCCAAAAATCTTGAATTTTTCAATGTCTCGATTTTTCGGATTTTTAATTTTCGGCTTTTTAGCTTTCCTGTTTCTCGATTTTCCAATTTTTCAATATTTCAATTTTGAAAATTTTTCAATTTCTGTATTTTTCAATGTTTCCACATTTCACTGTTGGGATTTTCCAATTTTTAGATGTCTTGATTTTAAAGTTTTTCAATCATTAGTTTCTTCGATTTTTTAATATTTCAATTTTTGGCGCCTAAATTTTCATCGATGTCTCAATTTCTCGATGAATCGATTGTTTTTATTTTCCCATTTCTCGATTTTTCGACTTTTCCAATGTCTCGAATTTTCAGTTTTCGATTTTTTAAAATTGCGATTTTTGATTTCTCAATTTTTGATATTTACGTTTTGGGATTTTTCAGTTGTTGGTTTGTCAATTTTTCTAGCATTTTTTTAATTTTTCATGGTTTCGATTCTTCGATCTTTCGATTTCTCGAACTTTCAAGTTTTCAGTAATTTATTTTTCAATTTTTCCAATTTTTAAATATTAAATTTTTCAAATTCTTAATGAATCGGTTTCTCAATCTCTCGTTTTTTCGACTTTCCGGTTTTTCGACTTTTTAATTTTTCGATTCATGAATTTATCGATTTTTTTAATTCTGAATTTTTCAATTTTTTCTTTCATTTTTCGATTTTTAGAATTTGTCCACTTCGATTTCTCAATTTTTCCATTTTCGATTTCTCGGATTTCCGATTTTTCGATGTCCCAATTTTTCGTCATTTGAATTTGGAATTTTTCAATTTCGCAGTTTCTCTATTTCTCGAATTTTCAAATTTTTTTATCTTTTCGACTTTTAGATTTCACGATTTTTCAAGTTTCCGATGTCTCAATATTTCAACATATCCATTTTAGGAATTTTTAAATTTTTCAATATTTAATTTCTCGGTTTTTCGAATTTTTCGATTTTAAAATACTTGTGCTTTGGATTTCAAAATTTTTGATATTTTGATTTTTAAATTTTTCAATTTCTCGGCTTTTCGTTTTTTCAATTTCTACATTGTAAATTTTTGAACTTTTTAAATTTTACAATTTTCAGATTCCTAATGTTTTTGCTCGGATTTAGATTTTTCGGTGTTTCGTTGTTTCAATTTTTCGATTTTTTGACTTCTCGACTTTTCAATTTCTTGATGTCTCGATCTTTTTTTCGATGTTTTGATTTTTCGAATTTTCGTCGTTTTAGTTCTTGATGTTTCGATTTCTTGACAACTAGTATTTTCAAAATTTTTCTTCTTTTTCAATTCTCCGATTTCTCAATTTTTCAATTTCTGAATTTTTCTATTTTTTAATATTTCATTTTTAGATTCTTGACATTTCGATGTTTCAAGTTTTTCGGTTTTAAAAAATAAAATTCGCAAATCAAATTTCATAATTTTTCCAAAAATCTTTTGAATTTTTCAATGTCTCGATTTTTCGGATTTTTAATTTTTCGGCTTTTTAGCTTTCCTGTTTCCCGATTTTCCAATTTTTCAATATTTCAATTTTGAAAATTTTTCAATTTCTGTATTTTTCAATCTTTCCACATTTCACTGTAGGGATTTCCCAATTTTTAGATGTCTTGATTTTAAAACTTTTCAGTCATTAGTCTCTTCAATTTTTTAATTTTTCAATTTTTGGCGCCTAAACTTTCACCGATTTCTCAATTTCTCGATCAATCAATTTTTTTATTTTCTCATTTCTCGATTTATCGACTTTTCCAATGTTTCGAATTTTCCGGTTTTCGATTTTTTAAAATTGCGATTTTTGATTTCTCAATTTTTTGATATTCCCGATTTTTGATTTTCCAATTGTTGGTTTGCAATTTTTCTTGCATTTTTTAATTTTTCATTATTTCAATATTAGAGTTTTCAAATTCTTAATGAATCGGTTTCTCAATCTCTCGTTTTTTCGACTTTCCGGATTTTCAATTTTTTAATTTTTAGATTCATGAATTTATCAATTTTTTAATTCTGAATTTTTCAATTTTTCCTTTAATTTTTCGATTTTTAGAATTTGTCCACTTCGATTTCTCAATTTTTCGATTTTCGATTTCTCGGATTTCCGCGATGCCCGAATTTTTCGTCATTTGAATTTTGGACTTTTCCTATTTCGCAATTTCTCTATTTATCGGATTTTCAAAATTTTTTATCTTTTCGACTTTTGAATATCACAATTTTTCAAAATATCAATTTTAGGAATTTTTCATTTTTTCAATCTTTCAATTTCTCGGCTTTTCGTTTTTCGATTTCTCGATCTTTTACTTTTTCGTTTTTCCAATTTCTAAATTGTAAATTTTTAAACTTTTTAAATTTTACATTTTTCAGATTCCTAATGTTTTTGCTCGGTTTTAGATTTTTCGGTGTTTCGTTGTTTCAATTTCTCCATTTTTCGATTTATCAATTTTTTTTTAATTTTACATTTTAAAAATTTTTAAATTTTTCGACTTTTTGGCTTATCGACTTTTCTTTTTCTTGATTTCTCGATCTTTTTTTCGATGTTTTGCTTTTTCACTTTTTCGTTGTTTCAGTCCTTGGTGTTTCGATTCTTTGACATCTAGGATTTTCAAAATTTTTCTTCTTTTTCAATTGTCCGATTTCTCAATTTTTCAATTTCTGGATTTTTCAAGTTTTTAATATTTCATGTTTAGATTCTTGACATTCCGATGTTTCAAATTTTTCGCTTTTAAAAAATAAAATTCGCAAAATCAAATTTCATAATTTTTCCAAAAATCTTTTGAATTTTTCGAAGTCTCCATTTTACGAATTTTTAATTTTCGGCTTTTTAGCTTTCCTGTTTCCCGATTTTCCAATTTTTCAATATTTCAATTTTGAAAATTTTTCAATTTCTGTATTTTTCAATCTTTCCACATTTCACTGTAGGGATTTTCCAATTAGATGTCTTGATTTTAAAATTTTTCAGTGATTAGTCTCTTCAATTTTTAATTTTTCAATTTTTGGCGCCTAAACTTTCACCGATTTCTCAATTTCTCGATCAATAGATTTTTTTTATTTTCTCATTTCTCGATTTTTCGACTTTTCCAATGTTTCGAATTTTCCGGTTTTCGATTTTTTAAAATTGCGATTTTTGATTTCTCAATTTTTTGATATTCCCGATTTTTGATTTTCCAATTGTTGGTTTGCAATTTTTCTTGCATTTTTAAATTTTTCATTATTTCAATATTAGAGTTTTCAAATTCTTAATGAATCGGTTTCTCAATCTCTCGTTTTTTCGACTTTCCGGATTTTCAATTTTTTAATTTTTAGATTCATGAATTTATCAATTTTTTAATTCTGAATTTTTCAATTTTTCCTTTAATTTTTCGATTTTTAGAATTTGTCCACTTCGATTTCTCAATTTTT